GTCCCTCACTTTATCCCACTTCCTCCTCTTCCCGTTTTTCTCCCCCTGTACAACAGGGCCAAGCCACACCTAAAGTCCCATTAACTAAGCCAAACGTGTGCTCCCTGCCGGTGATGTTTTTGGGTATGAGCTGTCATTTTAAACTTCCCACTGGCTGCTGTGTTTATGGTCTTTGCCTTCTTTTCTCCCATCATCCCCCAAAGTAACTTCTTGCTGAACCTGTCAGACTTTATGTCACCACGAATTTTAAGAGTCAATGGGCATTTCAGCTACTGAAAAACCTATCTATCTGCAAACTCAAAATAATTCATCATAGGATGATTTTAATTTGCATCAACAGCTGCTGTACCAGCAGGACCCTGGGAAACTTGTAATAATTTGTTATCAACAGAGGCTTTTGTTTGTGATATCACAGCATGTCTAACATGGCTTTGATCTGAAGCATGTTTGAAGCTGCTATGAAAGTGCTGTAAGACTGCCATTCAACAAGACTAAAAAAAACAAAGGAGGGAGATTTGTTGACAGATTTGTGTGCATTTCCTGGCAAGAATGACAAATAATGAGCACTGGACAAAGACACAAATTGTCTTCAAATGAGATATAACTTTTTCCTCTCACCATCACAAAAGATAGGAGTGCTTCATGGTAACCGCTTCTTAAAGAAGCCTTGAAAAGGAAATGTACAAATGTGATACAGCACCTAAGAGAAGACTTAAAATACTATGTACTGTTCTAGCACAGATGACACAACTTTTAACAGGAACTTTGCCTTTCCACTCACTCCTTTTCTTTTCCCTTTCCTCTTCCTTCAGGCACTGGAGTTAAATGGAGCTGGATCCAACCTCAGATGAACCACAAAAGCCTATGGAACAGGGGACTCTCAAGTCATCTAGACTGTATTCTTGTCAGGATCAACGGCATCTAACTCATTTCTGAGAGATACTTATCTGTCCTGCTTTTTAAAATCTCCAGTGATGGAGACTCCACAGTCTATTAAAGTAAACCCTTCCAGTGCTTCAGATGTTTTCCCCTTGCCAAGACTTAAGCCTGCTGCTGTCCAGAGAGAACATGATCGGTTTATTCTCTCCTTCTCTGCACTGATGTGAAATAAGGCTTGTTTTATTCTGGACTCTGTTCAGTAGGTCAACATGCTTCTTCAACTTTCAGACCCCAAACTGGATGCTCTGTTACAGTCAAGACCTTATCAAAGCCAAGCTGGAGTGGAGAATAATTCTGCATGTACTACAGATGGTGATTCTGTTTGTACGTTTTAAGACAGTGTTGCTTTTTTCCTGGTTTTAGCAAGTGGTCTGTCAGCAAACAAAATACATACCAATTCTGCTCTGCAGGTCTAGAAGAAGTGCCACGCCACATTAGCTCACCCCAGCTTGGCTCCTGTCTATAACAACGCACACGCTACTTCACGCCTAGCTTCTGAGTCAAAAAATGGAGCATTACAAATGGTAAGGGGCAAGGAGGGAGCAGAACATGAGAATGATCATCCAAAGTACTCTGCACTCACAACTTTTATGTATCAAAGTATTTTCTCATTTCTGTGGTTCTTCAGATCTACAGATCCTAGAATATTTTTAAAACCTGTTTCCCTTATGGCTATCTTCTCTTGACTTTCAGTTTATTTAACAGGAGCTTGGAAATTAAAGAAACTCATACTTATTCACTTAAGGGATGAGACCGCAATTTAAATTTGTTGCTTGTTTGACAGCTGTCACATTTTTTAGGTGCAAGTCATCTGCAGAGAACTTTCTTTTGTATTACAGTTCATAATCTTGTGGCTACTTCTTTTTAGGGCAGCATATATTCTTCAAAGGGAATCTCAGAGTAAAACCCCTGCCATCTGAAATATTTTTCGAAATATTTTTATTTAATAATGGCTATGGGCAAAGCCCCACCACACAGGTTTCTCATCTTCACTTGCCAGTAGCGCAGCCCTGTCAGAAGGGTACGAGACTGCAGGCAATTTGTGCAACACTTAAATCATGCTGGTTTATCTGTACTTCTCATCACAACTGCTTGGGAGGTTTGATCTCAATAGCAAAACCGCCGTTATGGGTGATCTGATGAACTTTTAAATTTACATCAGGAGCCTAAGGGATAAAGAAAGCTGAAATGGAAATTTAATCCATCTTTCATAAGCAATTAAATAGTTATAAATTTTAAACAGAAGCTTACAAGTTTTGAGTCTGTTTCTATGCCTCTCTTCCCTCTCGAATCTATGGAAACATGCTTAATTTAAATTTATACATCTTGTGCAGATCACTTATTGAGGTATTTTAACCAACTGTAATTTCAGGTTAATGACTACTTGCAATAATACTGTTGAAAAATTATCTGATGCCTCATGCATATTTTTGCTCTCAGAGGAATGCGTGCTCTATGAAACTTTTAAAAAATGGTTCACAATGATTTTTAGAAAAATACTAATCTGTATGATTTCCTAGGTAGAGAAAATTAATTAAAGGCATTAATTAAATTTGGGTACTGATACAGCAATATGCTACCCAGCTAAATTAAATGTTACTTATTAAACCGTCTAGAACAAATGTTTGAAGAGATTTGTACAACACTTATCTCAATCCTAGCTTCCTCAGGACAAAGACAGTTCAAGTACACATTTGGTGAATGTAAAAGAGTGAAGTAAGAAAGAGCAGTGAAGAATTCCGGTTAACTTTGCTGCAGTGTTTGCAGCATGAAGCAAACCAGTCCTCAGGGCTGTGTTACTGTTCTGACAGGAGTATAGCTGAGAAGGACAAGCTAGTAATGTCATTGGGCTGTTGCGTTAGACTTACTCATTTCTGTTTGTAGCCTGAGCAGTTTTTATCCAGTCTTATTCTCTTACCCTACACAGCTGGACTGGCTATTGCTGCATTTCATTTTTATGTGTGGCTTTTCCTTTGGTAGAATCATCTATTCTTGCTCTCTCGCAATCAGATTATGAAAAACCAGTGGAACAGCGACCTTAGCTGATCCACCTTTTTGTAATCAAACTAAGGTAGGAACTCTGATCTACATGGCACATAGGCATGCAGACTCATCGCACCGAGACAGTAAAAAAGCACCTGAACTGTCCTGGTGAAGAAACTGGGAAAGCTCAGCAGCATCCAGTCAAGTACATGCTCGAATGTCTTGCCAAGACTTGTCTTAGGCAAGCTATGTCTTAGCTTGTATTTCCAAAACTGTTTATACCATCAGAGTTTTCCAAAAGAGTTCTTATTTCATTAGTTGTCCTGTCAGTGGCCCAGCTGATCAAGACATTTGCCTGCAGAGGGCAGAGCACATTTGCCAGCAAGATCTGTTACCAAAAATACTTAAATCAAGGCATTTGCCTGACACTGAATTCCCGTGGCATTGCACCTGTTTTGGAAAACTATTGTTGGACAAGTTGTCCGTGAGAAACAGCAACTAACAAGTTATTAGTGTTAAACTAGAGGTCTGATGATGATACAAAAATTAAGGGTAGAAGAGAAAGCAACAGGCACACTGCTACACAAGAAACAGTAAGAAAAAGTAGTAAGAACTTGCTAAGATGGGCATGAATACAACAGCATGTGTCATGATAACCCACAATACTTGGGTTAACCTGCACGTGTCACCATAGGGGTACAAGCCCACTTTGGTGAATCAGACCGTAAGGTTCAGTCACTGGTTTCTATCTTTCTTAAATGACTGCAAGGATTTGGAAAATCCTTGGTGCAGCTTCAAGTTTTTACATTTAAAGAAAGGAAATGACTCTTTTCTGGATGACAGAACAGACAGTATAAGCAAAGTCAGTACCACTTCAGCAGACAGTGCAAAAGTGGGTGTATTGTCTGAACAAAAACTGGAAATTACTAAAATGGAAGGTTACAGCAATCTTAAAAAAAAGAAAACTGAAGAGAGAGCGCAAGCTTGAGGACAGGGTATTTTTTACTGTCCAGGACTCTAAAAGCTAGTAGCTATCATAGAATACTGACTCAATAGAAATCTGACTCCTCCTCTCCAGAAAAGGATTTATTTTATCAGTCACAAAAGGCTGGTTTTATAATCCAAAGGAGAAAACTGTGCCTCTGCTGAACGTGAACACACTATGAAATGCCTGCTGGCGTAGTTTTGGTTTATACCTCACACCGAGCCGGAAATATGAATAGTTTAAAACTATCACAACAGATCCTATTGATTGCTTACATTGGCAAAGGATTCATTTTCCATATGTAAGATCCACTCTCTGCTGTTTTCTATAAACATTCATTTAGCCCATACTCAGTGAGTCCTTACCTCACGAAACTGCACTGAACGGATTACGAACTAAACTCAGGCAAATCTGCAGGGACTAGAAACCAAACCAACTCCCTCGAGAATTACAACACGTGACCTTGTAACAAAATTTCTCTGCCTCCTCTCTGGGAAGATCTCAGACCTTTAAGTTGAAGATGGGTGCAGGGGATGGGGTGCTCATTCCCATCAAGTACAGCAGCATTATAGCGTTCCCCAAGTTTCGGAAACTGGTTGTTGTTAATGGCCTCACTGGACTTGAGACTTAAGCTGGTAGGGTGTTTGTTGTGCATATCTGAAGATACTTTCTGCAGTACTTCTTTGGGGTGCAGAGCCACCTTCATATCACTAGATGATTTCAACAGTCTCGAGCAGTGCAAAGTTGCACAGACTGAAGATCGTTTATCCTTTTCAGAGCAAAGGAATTATAAAGAGAAGAGAAGCAATAGCTAATTTGAAATAACATTCTATATTATGTACATCGAGTCTCACGTATTTGATTCAAAATGAGTGTTAATTTGAAAAAGGACCAATGGGAGTCACAAACCCTCCTGAGTAATTTCCTAAAGAAATGTATTTTCTAGAAATTAAACTTTGCTTTCTTAATGAACACATTTTGCACAGATGAGTTATTGGTATTGTCAATTCAAATTACTAGCGGATCCTCCTTGTAAAAGAGCAGTCCCTTTTGAGGATCTATTGTAAAACAAAATAGTAGACAAGGATGCATCTTATTTGTTTGTTTCCCCCACAAGGATATATCATTAATGTGTTTGTAAGAACTAATATGCATGGCCCCCAAATTACATCTGTGGAGTCATTATAAAAAGTGCTTACTGTATTGCCACATAATTAGATTCCCTATGCTGAATATATTATTTCAAAGCTGCCCGAAGAAAAATTACAGACCTTGTGTAACTCCACAGGAGTTGGTGACATGATTTCTTTCATTTCTTGCTTAATTTTTCTCAGAACCATGGACTTTCTCCCCACATCTGACGGCAATGTGTTACTACGGGTAGTTTGACTGTAATGTGGCCTTACAGTACTTCTTTCCTGGAAGCTGGCTTGTCTTCCCAGCTGGCTACGAGGTTGTGGGTTTTCGTGATTCAAACTCATTGTACTTCCTGACATAATTGTGGCCTGGAGCAGTAAAGAACAGGTTAATTTTTAACACAGAATGTGGGTTAAGTAAGTGGTTAATTCATAGCAGTAGGAAAAACATCTCTATTCTTTGTTAAAACACAATCACTCAGGGCACAGCAAAAGGCAAGAGGACAGATGTTCAATCTGCTTGCAAGTCACTATAAAATAAAGGACCACAACAAAACACAGCAACAGTAACAGAACCCTATGGGCAAAAGTTTCTAGACAGCATTTCAGACTAAAATACTGAGCACTAGAATGGCTATGCTTGTAAGCTAGTCCCCTGGCAGACTGAAGAGTGTGTAGTATAACTGCTTCTTTAAAAAATATTTTACATGTAAGTAAAATGACATTTAAGTTGCGGCATAATCGCATTTGTTGGAATCGGAGCTATAGGAAGGCATTTAGAATTCAGACCGTGCGTGCAAGGTAAAAAAATGTGAGTCAGCAGAATATGTAGGCAGCTCTGGAGTCAGCGCTGGCAGAGAGCGTGCCCGGATGCCACCCCAGGCCAGGATGCTCAGTGCAGGTAAGCTCACTGCCTGGAAAGAAACTTTGCATAACACGCATATTGCAAGAGTAGCTGCCTTAGCTTAGCAGTAATACTTCAGAGATACAAGCCCCTGTCTCACTATTGGCTTTAATCTCAGTAAAAGCTAGCCTTTTATGTTAGATGTAAGTATATATGGAGGGTGAAATCTTGAAAGACGACAGCAGTCTTCTCATCCACTGGGTGGAATGGACTGATGTGAAAAGCACCCGTGCACAACATGGAGCCTCCTCCCTTGTGAAAGAATTTCTGCTCTGGGGAACGGGAGGCACGGTACAGAGGTGCCACTGCTGGGATAGGGTAGGCTCAATTTCCTATTTATTCTCCCTGGTCCTGATGGATAAGTAAAAAAGGGAAATTAAAAGGCCATAACCTGAACTCTGACTGGGACAGGATAAAGGCAGCCTGCTTGAAAATGAGAAGTAAAAATGAAGGGGGAAAAGATAAGGGGAAAACAGGCAAATAAACATTTGCTTCTGACTCTAGTGAGCATGTCTGTCACCCTTCTTTCTCCCAGCTCCAGCACTACTTTCACTATGAGATAATAGATTGTAGCCTTAACAGTCTCTCTTCTGCTCAGTAATGACTGATATTACTGCCTGATGGAGCAAAGGCAGCTAGAGGATTTGGCAAACAAGTCTGTCTTTGCTCTTTGGCTGAAGACCTTGAAATGAAAAACGCGAAGGAGTCCTTGACAATGCAATGGCACTTCATAAACCAGAGGCATCTCCATTCTTAGCATCCTGTCGTACTGCATGAGTCTTGCTTTCTTTTCAAAGCTGTGGGTTGTGCAACAAGGTGATGCTATAAATGATACAGCATCTACAGTTCCGAATTTCACTTTTGTGAAAGGCTGAGGGAAATTCAACTTGCTGAAGTAACTGAATTCTGGTCAGCCTGAATGATCTATTTCTATTTCTGAATTATCTATTTCCATATCCTTTTATTGTGCTCTGAATATTGAAAATTGCAAGAGAAACCTGCGGTACCGAACTATATCTAACTATGGAATTAAACCAGCATAACATTTTCTCCTACATTTCTCTGGTTTGCAATAACAAATACATGAGAATCGCATTTTGTTACCCATACATGCAATACAAAAGCCATAAATCTGAGGAAGTAAATTAATCTGAACTGAAAAACTTTCACCCAGTTATGCCATTCACATTCCTCCTGGCTGCTAAAGGACTTTATATAACATAAAAATGAAAATGAGATTCTGCCAGTTTTGCAGCTCCAGGAATTTAAAAGAACATAAAAGAAAATACTTTAGGACCTTTCATTCCACAGCTTTAAGTGGCAGTATAATCTTAACTGTTCTGATTAGACAACTTAAGAGAAAAGGTGATTAGAAAAATAAAGACCCAAAGTTACTCTGTGTTTCCTTCCCCCTCTACCCTCCTCACAATCTAACACAAAGCATGAAGCACAGTTAGATTTGCAATGAACTTCAAGATGAAATGTGAAAAATTGTTACGTACTGACAAAATTGCTGTATAACGAACATTTCTCACACCGGCAGCTTTTTTTTTTGCAGAGTGTTAAGATTAGAAGTAAACATTTTGGAAAGATGATTTTCTTTTATGTTCATCTTAATCAAATTAAGTTTCAAATTAAAAGACAACCTACAACATGCTAAGAAAAGCTGCAGAAAGCGTCTGTCAGAGAATGGGATGCATTGCTGCGGGAAGGTTATGCCCACTTCAGAAGTTCTGCGCTATTTGCTGCCTGTGCAGACAGCAGCAATGGTTATGCACAGCAGAAGCTGCAAGTCAAAAGCTCTGTGGTGAACATGTTTGTAGAATTTTGGTTGCATTGTACAAAAGAAAACAGCTCCGGTTAGGGGCGGGGGAGGCAGCTGCACAAGCAAAAATATAAAGGTAAAGGGTAGGTACCAAGAGAGTCATGTTTCTCAAACACAGACGCCTGTCAGCCTTGTCCTGTGGAGAGGGGTTAAAGCTTTTAAATGAATTGGTGTGATTAGTGCAACTTAAAAGAAAAAAAAAAAGAGAAAATAAAATGAATGTAAACCAAACCAAAACCATTATATTTCTCTATAATTGGAAAGAAAGGTTAAGATTGTTCTACCTCTAGTTCCCTCAGAATTCCTGACTGGCCACAGGTCTCTAAATCCTCCAGAGCCTGAGACCAGAAATTTTCCTCCTGGTCAGCCTCGGTGTTATCATGGGTACCTGCAAAGCTAGATTTACAGTGAGAGGTTAAAAAAATGTGGACTTTTTTTTCCCTCAAAAAATATATTTCATACACGTGCCTTGACACAGATTGCAACTTGAATGACAGAACGTTACGGTAGGTAGGCAGGAGAGTGAGGAAGAGTCGCTGATCGGGAGAGGCTGGATGGACATGCAGAGCACATGACAGACAAGTCTTTTCATAACCTGGCAGTCGCTAGCAGCTGGCAGGATCTGAGCAGCCAGTTATTCGGTAAGGAGATAAATGGATTCCAAGAACAATCAATACACTTTTTTACTGGCTTGAAACTGGGACCTCCTGATGAAAATTAATGAATCAACCAGTCGCTGTGTGCAGAGCTGCTCCGTGCAACAAATATTTGCAATAAAACCTTTCAACCTTACAGACTTCTCCTAGGGAATACGAAAAGAGCCCTCATTTTTGCAAACAGCATTTTGCAAGAGGGATGGTGGTGCTTTTTTACCTGATTCCTTCAGCCTAAGTAGTGTTTATCATTATCAATTTAAGCCCACCTGACTGCCATCATACAAACTGCTCCAGTTGTTTCATACACAAACACAGAGAAACTTTCAGGGATGCAACTGTCTTGCATGGAGCCTTGGGTCTCTGGTGGCTCATAAACGCACCGAAGCTTTATTGCTAGCACTCTTCAGCAAGATGTTGGCGACAGCGATGCTTAGGGAAGTTGCCCAGCAAGAGAGGTCTGATAAAAAATGCCAACTCTGGACTGCAGCAACAGCCCAAAGCAAAACCATTACAGTGTATGTACAGGAGGTTTTTTGCTGTCTTAGCAAGGGGAATCAGCTCAATGAAGGTTCACACAAGCGTCAGAGCTGCTGCACGGGAGGGGGCTGATTATGTGAAAGGCAAAGGGGAAGAGTGAGGAAGGAAAGAATGAGAATTTGCCCTTTTGGTGGCAGCAAGCTGTTACTTTGGAGCAGCTGCCCATGGACTGCAGCTAGTGGTGCTTAACAGCACATAAACAGAGCGAACTCTATTACGGAAGCATTTGAGGCCTTGCTTGACAAAAATGTATTACTGAGAATAGCGTGTATGTAACGCTGTTAACAGAACGGCTTTTAAATAGAATTTAAAAGCACAAGGGAGGACAGCTTGAATGCTTCGCACACGATACTCTGCCTCAGAGATGCTTTCTTACAGTTACGATCAGTCAAGCAGACAATGGTCAGCCATTTCAATCTCTTATTGCAATGATTGTCCATCTAGCATCAGTGTCTCTTCTAAGATATTGCAATAGATACAGCAACGGTGAGAATACCTACTCAGATCACAGATGCAATTCCTCCCAGGCAAGACAAGAAAGTATTTAAAACATGATTTTAGAAAGATCCTTGACTTCTGAAATTAGCTCTTTGAATAAACCTAAGTAGTTATTTTAATAGCCAATGTTGAACATACACTAATTTATCCATTACAATACCTTTCTTTATATTGCATACTAATATTCTAATATAAAACGGAACTTGAGTTAATGAACAGGATTATTTGAGGCAATTGTCTGTGACAGCAAAGATTGGATTTCCTAGAACAGGAGGTCCATTTCTTTTCCAACTTCTGTGAAATCTGAAATCATGATGCCTATATGTCTGGACCTCTTTTTAGCTGAAGTAATTCCGTTTTCTGGCCTCACCTCCTCTTTTGCCTTTTCTCTGAGTCTTGTCTCCTGGTGTGTGAAATGCTCAACTTTTGCATCTCCATTACAGCCACATGAATAAACTAATTTGTAGCTGAGCTACTGCACTAGAAAAAAAAGAGGTACCAAAATAATTTCTCATCTAGATGACTTTTTTTCCTGAACCTGAGAGATTGATTTTATGTCATGTGAAATATTGTTTGACCTATAACAAATATATTTGATTTTCTGATGCTTATTCAAAGAGCCATCAGAAATTTGATGCATAAAAATGCTGAAGGAGAGGTAGTGGGACAGATATGAAGACAGAGGTGCCTGTGATTTGCTTCTTATTGCCATATGAGAGATGAAATCCTTTTTTTTTCTTTTTTTTTAATTCAGGAGGTGATAGGATGTTCTAGGATCTGGCAGACTCATTCCTGTAAGTATTGTTTTAATGTGCAAAAATTTTCCCTGGAGCAGGAACTGTAACAGACTCATCCTACCTGCCAGTGATGGTAGACACCAGGCTACAGAGCTGTTTAAGCGCTCTGGTTTCATTTGCTTGCCGACTGAAATTTCATTGTTGCTCAATGGCATGTTAATGATGTGTTTTCTGCTTTTACTCTGTTTTTCTCCTTTTTCTCATTTCAACTGTTCTTCCTTTCTTTCAAAGCGCCCCCCCCCCCCCCCCCCAGCTCCACCTCAGCTCAGCTGGATCTCACTCCTGTGCACAATTTGTTCTCCTACCTGGTAGTATTCCACTCTTCCAGCCGTCCCCCACCTTTCCTTTGCCCACCAGAGGCACCTTTCCATAGCTTGCCCTCTTTCTTCATGCTCCTGATGCTCTCACCCCCTGATCTTTCTATGGAAGTTTGCTTTAAATGGTTTTCTTGATCCTCTCCCAATGTCTCAGGATCCTTCTGTTGCCACATATTCTTGGAAGCTGTGCTACACAAAATAAAGGTAAGAAAAAATTACTTTTTAGTGTCAGAGAAGAAGAAAAGTTGCTTAGCTAGAGGTAGAGCCGAGGTGGTTTTCTGGGAATCCCTGTAACCAGCTGGAAGAACAGACATGCCCTTCTCAAATACTCCAGCACTTGATATAGGAACACCAGCAGGTGTGGCATAATCCATTTTACAGATGCAGGGTTAAAATAATCATTAGTTTAATTTGTGCCATACATCTTACGTGTAATCACATTGACAAGTAGAGCAAGATTCTTTAGCGTGCATACTTTCTGTTGAATAGTGCTTTAAATAGCAGTAGAATAGACACTTTTCATTTAGAAGATTCTGTGTTTTACAATCCAGCTTCCCAGTTCACTGCTCATCAAATTTTTCAGCCTATTACTTACGTAACTACAAAACAGTAGGTGTTCTGGAATCTATGGTTACATCTCATCTTATAAACAAAAGATGGCCCTTAAATATGGATAAAGATGCTGCTATTAAATTAAAGATATTAACTTACCAAGAATGGGAGGCATGAATAAAACTGTGGTCATTTCCTTTATTAAATACTGCCCACTACTAGCCTATGAAAACTTCTCGTATGCTTCTGGCTAGTAGGGACCAAAGAGGCTGGATCTGGACTGAGAATTCACACTTGCCCATACCTTAGCTATCATCTTGCCAGACTTGTCTCCAGATAAAATGCCACTGGGCAATCTGCTGTATCAGAGGATTTGTCACTCAGCTTCTGAAAAGCAGCACTGGCATCTAAGCCTTGCCTTGATTTGCATTTCAAAGGTAAAAGTCTGGACCTTAGGGATTTACTTCTCCACTATGTTTTTACAGGAACCAGAAAGGTTTTCTTTAGTGCTGTACTTGAATTTCTCACAAACTGGGATTTCAGGCTCGTTGTGCTGCTACACCAAGAAACTCTATTTCTAATGAAGGACATGCATGTCTGCAAGTCCTGAGCATGGGTACAAAGAGCACTGAAATCTTTCCGACTAGGATGCCTGTGTTCCCTCGCCTGAGGAAGACCTGTTCTTTGGCAGGAATTACCCAAGTTTCTGCAGTGGTTCCACTGCTGGATTATTCTTAAAGAATAAGAGACTTTTGGGTTTCTGGATCTTTTACTATCTCCAAGCATTGTCAACTATGCATTTTTCCCTCAGGAAGTTCTTTTGCCTGCAGAGAAATTCATTGAAGATATTTACTTCTCAGAAGAGGAGTGCATGGCAAACTACCATAGATTTGGACACGACGTTTCTACCTGAGTTGCTTTGTTTTCCTACTAAATCACTGCAGATGTCTCAAGCATTTATGGAAGAAGACTGTAATTTCTGCTTCTTTGCCCAAACCAAAATAAAGAATTTTCATGGAAGTCAAAAGATTAACATGCCAGTTGTCTTTAGCTGCTTTATTTGTAGGTTTCGTTTTGTGGAGTGGAAAACAGAGCAGGTTCGTTTTGAAGCTTACCCAGGGGAATGCTCTAATTTTTAGTATTTTTTTTAAAAATTTTTTTATTTTTTTATTCGTAAGAGGTAAATGCTGTGGTTTTTTTGTCTGAAGTAAATAAAAATAATTATGTCTTGGTTTTGGTATCATAATCATCCATAAATGTCATGAGTCTACCCTAATAAATTTCTTATCTCATATTTAAAGGAAAAGTTGTTACACTTGCGTTAGAAAAACATAATTTCATTTCAGACAGTAAGTGTTCATTTTTTAGGCACTGCTGCAGCTGAAAATCAGAAAACAGAAACTCGTATGTGAACTTACCTGCTTGCTGTAGGTCGGTCCCATTCATCATCACTCAGCCCTGTATCATGAAAAGGGTGGTTCCGTGGTTTGCTTGGAGGGGACAAACTAGTCTGTTTAGGACTCCTCCATTCATAGGCGTTGAAGTTGTATCCTGAAGCCTGATAGCTGAGTCCTAAAAAGATGAATTATATATTTACAGCACTGCATATGTTGTGATGACCGAAGAGCACATCTGTGGAACTAGTTTCCCTAGAACTTGGATATGGACTCATGATTGCTACCTTTTTTTGCAGTAGTAGTCAGCTATTTAGAAGAATAAATGACCTAAATTATGCCTGAGAATAGGTGTGCTCTAGAGCTTCTCCTGTGAAAGTCCATTGAAAGTAAAACCTTAAATATATCCAACACTGTTCTCCTACTGTTTGTGTCTCAGCTGCTTCTGATGTTTAGTTCTGGACATTTTCACAATTTATCAGTTTCCAATTTGACATCATACCTTGAATACCAGTGAATAAATCACACGTGTTATGGATGTGTTAATTATGTGTTAACATGGTCATGTGTAACATGCCCAAAATTAAACTTAAGCTATTAAGAAAACTGTGCTTCAGACCTACTGAAAAAAGTTTGCAGCGGTGCAGACCAGGCTGGATGAGGCTTTGGGCAACCTGGTCTGGTGGAGGGTGTCCCTGCCCGCAGCAGGGGGATTGGAACTAGATGACCTTTAAGGTCCCTTCCAGCCCAAACCATTCTATGATTCTATGATTAAAAAAGCCCATCAACTTGACTTTTCAGATGAGTAGCAGAAAGTTTTTTCTTCCTCCTAGTAACTTTCTCAAAATTGGAAGCAATACAGCCAAAAATTAGTGACATATTAGTGTCAACTATGCACAATATTACTAATCTGTAGAATGGCCACCTAGATGCAAAAGTTGTCATGGTGCAGAGGCTCTTGAGTGACCATTGACTGGAGTAATGCCAGAACGGGAAGGAGGGTGGCTGTCGCAGCATCCCTGAGGCAAGGACTCATTAACACCTTGTATTAATGAGCTGTCACAGCCCTGCATAAAGGCCAACATGGGAATCTCTGTACCCATTCCCCTTTATGGAAGGGGGACTTGCACTTAGCAGAGCTACTGCTTTTTGCTAGGGCTCCAAGAACTGAGAAAAGGCCAATCTCATGATGGGCACACATGCCAGGGACCAATATACACCCCTGGAAAGCTCACCTTGCAGAAAGGGATTTCTCTATCAGCCATTTCCAAATATCTCAAGGCTGCGTAAGTGGCATCAGATGGCCTTTATATCTGAAGAGTTTATTTCTGGGTGCTTTTATTATACAAGCAATATTGGTATTAGTTCAATAGTATTTCTTTAACTGAATTAAGTGTAATTTGAATTCCAAGTAGGAACCAGACAGTCTGGCTTCCAAGTGATGTATCAGGAAGAATGCATGGATCAACTTGTCACAAGCTGATGTTGATCTGGTAAGCAAAATCCATCACGGTAAAGCTGCTATATATATATTTCATCTTGACATATTCCTTTTCTAGCTGGTGTTTTCTGATGTGCATATTGAACTAGGAAGTTCTATTTTGTTGATGACTAACAAATATCACTGCTGTCACCTCTCTAAAGAGAGCAATTTGCTTCCATAAATCAGTCTAGACCTGTTTCCCTCAAATCCCATGTAACTACAGAGCTGTGTGCATTTGCCAGCTAATTGGCAGACATTAACATACTCCCAGATTCTAGGAAGGGTTTTGGTTGTGAAAATGTGACTGCTGTGTGGGGAAGGCTCCAGATTAGTAAGCCAGACACATTAGACAAAGGTACAAAATGGGGTATTAACTCAAGGAGAGAAAAGATTGCTCACCAGCATTAAATTAGTAACTAATAGGATAAATCATTATCTGGTGTTCCAGCAACATTTCCCAAACTCCTCAATTTGCTCAGCCTGTGCTTATGCCAAGAAAGGTTTGGAAAGAAGCCAAACTCAACTTGACAGGTCAAGACAGAATGAACTTTAATAGAAATGTGGGTCACATTAGTACCACAGCAAGGGATAAGGCGCAAATCTGATTACACTCAGGCTGTTTAGCAGAAGTGTCATGTATCCAGCCAAGTCTGGGATGATTTTTTCAAGGGAGTTAGAAAAAAATCTGCTTTGAGATACTGGTTTAGTTTTGGCATGGCATCTGAATCATCAGGACTTTGGAAAGCAGTCTGGGCCTCAATCCTTTCGATGGTTGAACAATTTGCTGCAAATATCAATTCACCCATGAAATGAGAACTATCATTTTGGCACCTTTTCAGCAATACTTCTCCTTAGAATTTAAAAATACCAGAAGAAAATCTAACAGGATTTATTTTGATAAACTGACCAAAACAGTTAAAAACAGAAAAGGGGACAAATTAATCCCAACTCAAACTCCAGTGAAGTACAAATTATACAGGGGGAGTATAGCCCAGTACGTTGAGTACTAAGTAAAATGTTACATGTAACAGCAAATTAAAAGTAAAATGTAGAAAACAGGAGTTATAATTAAATGTATTGAGATTGTCTTGTTTAAAGTAAGTTGATGCCAAATATATGCAGTAAGGCTAAGAAATACTTGAAAATTAAAGAACAGACAAAAATGGCCACTGCTAGTGACATCAGCTACTTCTTGATCTCAAGTAGCTCAGCAGGTTTCAAAGGAAAAGTTCTGCTTTCCAGAAGAAACTACCAGTGTAATCACTGAGCAGGCGCATTAGAGAATAGCTATGAAAGTAATCAGCACAGAACTTCAGTTTATATGAGAAATCTGTTGGGCAGAGCTGTTTCAATTCTCTGTGAGGGTACAAAACAGCTGTCCATGAGCTACTACCCGTGCTCCTGGAAAGCAAGATAAAGAAACGGAATGGAAAGAAATAAAATGGAAAGAATGTGTGCAACCAGACTGAGCAAAAAAAATTATTTGAGGTAAGGATCTACCTGTCCAAATACCTGCCAGGTAGTAGGAATACCTGCTTTACTATGGAAATAAACATTTTAGAGAGAGTTAAATAAAACACTCAAGCTCTGTGGAAGTTATTTTTCTTGTTATCTAGAATATTACAAAATGTTTGTATCCCTCGCTGCCTAAATAAATGTAGCTTACAAATTAAAATGAGATTATTTGAAAATCCTATATAAAACAATAGTCAAACAGAAGTTGAAAATTTAGTGTTAAGGAAAATCATGTCTTTAAATAGAATGATTGTTTTTGGGAGCTGAAAGTTAGATGTTAATGCTGCAGGAATGAGGAAGAAGCAAACGATTTACAAATCATAAGCAATGCCTAACATTCCTCCTTCAGCAGTTTATAATATATCTGTTGTCAGTTAAAAATTACTGCATGTGGGCATCAATTTCGTGAACATCTTCAGTGTGTTCTGCGCCTTGCATTGATCTGTATTTGAAGGATAAACTCATTTAGCTGTGGATGAGCTATGGACTGGGCTATTCAGATGTCAGTAAAGCTAACAAAAGCCTGTTAATGTATTGATAAATGCTTCATAACACATCACATTGTCATGAAAGAATGAATCTGAGGCCAGCCAAGTGTAAGAAATCATGCTGCCTGGCAAGGTGTGTGGTCATAATGAGACATCAGCACATTACAAAGTACAAGGTTTAAAGTTGGTACAGATAAAGTTCTCTTTAAGGCAAAGAAAGGTCAACCATGAAGGCAATAATTTCTACTTGAAATGTCAACTGCATTCTTGATAGTACCTTGATTTCCAAAGCTGGTATCAATACCAGAGCCATCCCACGACTCTACTGCGCTGTCAACACTTGGGACTGTAGTGGAATAGATGTCTGAGAGTTTGCTGGATCTCTGTGCAGCAGAGGTTTCATCTTCAGCATCGCTCAATTCACTTACGTGACCCACAGGGACAGAAAATTTCTTGGGACTGGTAGCTGAATAGGATTATTAAAAAAAAAAAAGGGGGGGGGGGGTCATTGCTTTACTGCAGTTCTAAGAATACACTTTTTACTACTGACACGATGTTTTCCCAGGGATGGCCTAAATGCTTGTTAATCTCTAACAACAACGCATTAAAGATCCCTGATGCTACCCTTGGCCATACTCACCATCTGTCTGCTTCTTGATTTTCAAGGTGACAGTTTCTCCTGCCATCTGTAATAAATGAATGGCTTCACTCAAAGGTTTTCCTTTCAGACTGCTACTATTTATTGCTAGGATTCTGTCTCCTATGTGAATTGCCCCAGTCCTACAATAAGAGAGAGAAGTAAAACATTGAGAAGAGAGCATAAAAGCAACAAAGGCAATTTCTTTGCATATTTGGAGCATGAAAGTCTCATCTCCCTTTCTTTCATTTTGGTTTTACAGCTGTGTTACGGAGCAAGTCTTTTGTTAGAAACGCTTAAAGCAAGTCACCTTTGTTGTAGTGACAAGAGCAGAGCTGAGGCAGGGAGATGTAGATTTCTGTGTTACTGCGGTAGCTGAGTTAATCACCTATGGATGATAGTCATTGCAGCCCACCTGTTCAGAAGCAATCTCAGACAGTTCAGTAAGTTCTGAAATGAGTCAAGTTTCTAGAAGTCTCACCACATAACAGGTAATGGCAGTGTGAGCAAGTAACAGCTATCTCACCAACCTGGCTTTCAGGATGGATCATATCAAGAGAAGAACATAAATTCTCTCTGTGTAAATGCAGTTTGTTCTGGCTGTGCACAGCGTCG